CTATTTCAATTCTTCACATTTTATTTTCTTACCTCTTTCAATAATCTTTCCTTCAAATTTTTCAATAATTTTCAAATGACCACATCTGCAATGAAAGGTAAGGATTGGACCCGAAAAGAAGATGAAGCTCTTTGAAGGGCTTATAGATGGGTCTCGGAAGATAGTGTGGGGGGAGTTTTCAAACAAGTGAAGGTATTTGCACTCGTGTGTTCAAAAAATACTATGAGTTATACGAAGGCACCACTCCACCAATACCCGAAACCACGAGAGTTGTTCTTCAAGATGGAAGAAACATCTTCGTCCAAGTTTGAATAAACGACATCAAGCACTGTTAACAATCGCAAGTAGACATGAAAGCGGCGCTAATTACTACGACAAAGTAAATGTTTCACAATTTATTTAAAATATTTAATTATATTACATTTAATTTCATAAATTAATTTCCTTTAATTTTTGTAATTATATTTTCTAGGTACATCAAGCGGAGGAATTGTATATGGAGAGCAGCTCGAAACCCTTTCAACATAATGGTAGTTGGGAAATTTGTAAATGGTAGGTGTTATTTGAAGATCCACAATAACATAGAGTAGGTCATACGCTGATGTTTGGAACTGCATCCTCAGTTGTAGATAGGGATGAAGATGGATCTCCTGCCATTCAAGAAACAAGGGTAGGAAATCCGTCTTCGGGTGAAGGTTCCATACCTAGGGGCCAGGGCTATGGGACAAAATAAGGCTTGAAAATTGAAGGAAAATGGCAAGGCAAATGATGATATCACCTTTCAATAAGAAATGACGGCCTCTTTGCGATTAATGGCGAAGCAAAATGTCATTGCCGTGGAAAAAAATGAACCATAGGCATGAAGAACGGGCCAAACAAATACAAGAAGAGATGAACGATAAGAATATGCAAATGAACACTTTGAATTACACTCCAATAAGTAAGGCCTATTCCGCTAGGAAAAAGAAAGAAATTATGGCCCGATAGCAATTGTTTACCTCCGACTATACTACTCCTACAATGGCGGATGATGATTATAAACTTTAAATTTAAGTTGTTGTAGTTTTTAAATTTAAAAAATAAATTATGTTTGACCTTTTGCCCCCTCGGTTGGAGATGATCTTTTGTCACAGGGCTATGTTTGGCCTATGGCCATCTGGCCCCTCAGTTGGAGATGGTAAGAAATATGGCTCTGCACTGTTCATTAAAATATTAATTTGTTGAAGGACTATAGGGCTAAAACGATCCATCTGGCCCTCCTTTGGTTGGAGATGGCCTAAGAGGCCTTCTCTCTTGTAAACAAGTATGAAATATATATCAAAACTTTTGAAGTCAAAAGTTAACATAATACAAATGCCCACTTCTATGAGAAATTTTTTAGTATGTCAAAAATACAGTCGGATACATTAAGTGTTATAATACAATTTGTTGAATTTCTTTGACAAACTGACAATCTTTGCACTCCCATGACCAATAATTAGCATCTAATTAGCCTGCATTAAAACATGAAAAAGAAAACTAGTACTAATTATTTCTTATGCAGCAAGTGCATAATCATAACCACCACCATCATCGTTGTCATTGTCACCTTCAATGGATGCTGCTGTAGCATAGCCATAATCCAAATCATTGTCATTGCGGACACCTTCCATGCATGCTGCCAGGGCAATATCATATCCGTCATCACTATCGTCGTCGTCATCTCCATGCTTCTTGCACCATTAGGCACTTATCATCAATTTTGAAAGGGAAACATATCTTTTTTTGCTCTAGTTTGGACTGTATTTGAAATCAAAGAAAGAACAAGAGCAAATTTGGAGTTTGGTTTATGAAGTTTGGATTCGATATGAATAAGTGAGCTTTGTATGTCGCCATATATATAGAGTGAAGAAGTTTGTTGGGCTTGTTTCTCCACAATTCGTCGCGTGGTGGGAGTGTGGAGTTGTGCTTCAAAGGTGTGTTTTTCCACTGCATGCATGTGAAATATGCCCACTATATATCATTAACGTGGTCCAGCTTAATCTGGGATAAATTCTGTCTGCATGCACTAATACCAGATATGCAGGTGCAGCATCTAGAATAACACTCTAACTATATTTCAAATCATACATGCACTGTGATGTATTTTAACATTTAGTGATGGAGCTGGTCATAGATTAAAGGATGCCTTTGAAGAAAGTTGAGGTTCTATCATAACCAATCGACAATATGGAAAGAGGGGGAGTAAGGCAACTTATAAGTTCATGCAATGTCCCTCTTTTCATTAATGTGGAATTCATTCTCAACGCGCCCCCTCATGTATGAGGAATTTTTAAGCCTAACATGTGAACAACACAAACAGGGTGACGTGGAGCCAGTGCAGGGGTTAAGCTTCAAACCTGTGACAACCTAGCACTGGTACCATGACTAAAGTTGAGGTTCTACCATAAAAATTGATAATATGAGGAGTATCCCTATTTACTTATAAGTTCATGCAAAATCTCTTCTTCTATCAATGTGGGATTCTTCTCAACAACCTTGACCCTCCCTCTTTTGCTTAAATGCTTTGGAATATAGAGTATAGCCATAGATTATGAGCAAAACGTTGTACCTTTGTGGACATACAACTTATCTATGCTGTTATTAATTTTTGACATAACAGTACATGATTGACTTAGTATATTACTACCATACAACGTCATCTCTAAGCAAGGAAACCCCATTAACATTGTTTATACACTAATGGAATTCTAATGTCCATCTGTTGCCACATAAAGGCATTGGAGACCATTCATTTTAGATGGGTCCTCGTTTGGATGTGCTACTCTAGAAAACGCTTTTACTCATTAGCACTTTTTGTTTATAGCACTTTTGCCTAATGCTTTTATGATGAAGCAGTTTGTTGTTTGGTATGCAACCACTAAGTGTTTTTTGTATTGTATAGAAGCGTTTTATATATTAAATAGAGTGTTTGGTTATCAAATAAAAAAGCGGTTTTCCTTAATAATTCTCAATAATGTTTTCATAAGTATTTTTTGTATATAATTAGCATACAACTTGATAAAGTGTTGATGAAAATTCAATTAAAGAAATAATGATCATTAACAAAATGATACATACTTATTGAGAATATATGTTTGTTTCTTAAAAAAAAACACACATTATAATTGCATGACAATTAAATGTGAAATAAGTGTTAACTAGATATAAGAAGATTAGCAATTTTTTCTCGTTCAACATCTAACTCTCGCCTATGAGTAAAATTTTCATCAACAATCTCTTCATCTCTATGATCTTCCTCATGTCCAGGTGGAAGTAGCTCATCATCACCATCATAAGGTTGGAACTCTTGATCTGTATTTTAAAGATCCATATAATGCTACAGATAATAATAAGAGAGGGCTTTCTTTTCTCTTAAACAAGGTGATGTTTTAAAGATCCATATATGCAGGGGACACTTATTCTCTATCAACAGGAGGCCGAAGGTTTGGTTTATGTTTTCACCTTTTTGTTTCAATTATGAGGCCATATTTTATTGCTTTCGAGTCAATTCACAACGATTTCAACAAAAATAATATATAATCAATAAAATTCTCATACCACATACAGATTTAAAATAAAAAATAACATACATACCTCCACAAAAATTTCAGGTTATGAAGATGTAGAGAGATTTGGGAAGAAGGAGAGGAAGAGATAAAGACCAAGTGGACTACTCTAGCCTTCAAAATAATCTGAAAATAAAAAACCTTTTGGGTTTTCAACGTGCAACCCTAGAAAAAATTGGTGATGGTAGTTTTGATGATTTTATAAAGTGGAATGGCATTTTAGACTTTGCAAATTAAAAAAATAGGGATAATTTTGGAATTGAAAAAAAATCATTAAAGGGAGCAAAATGCTTCCCTTGTTTTCTTTGTGCAACACTTTTAAGAGGAAGCACCTCCTAGGTGCTTCTTAGAAAGTGCTTCTTAGAAAATGCTTCTACTTCTAGCTAAAAGCACTTTTAAAATGTTTGCTAAACAACCATTTTTTTTAACTTAGCATTTTTACTTATTAGAAAGCGTTTTTGGCTATTTCAAAAGCACAACTAAATGAGCTCTAAATATCAGACGACCGACACATCCATCTGGGATTCTGAATGGTAAGGTGGATGACACTTTTCAAAACTCAATACCAACCAATCAATTTTTGGCTAAGATTTCATATGCCAACACCAAAGTCCTGCATTCGACCAGAACTAACACAACCACCAGAACCTTAGCAGCTCAGCCACAAAATGATCAGCAAAAAACTTTCAGATCAAATCTTCCGGCCATTAATCCCCGCCGCGTGTGTCAGTTTCCGGCGGCTGAGCACCACTAAGTCCAAACTACTGCCCTGCCCACGCCCTGAACCTTTGAAACTCAAACACTTAGCCCAAAACTCCAAATGGGCTGTTAGGCTAAGCTTAGTGGACCAAAGCCCACCAAAATCAACGTTTGACGTGGAACGGTTAGTAGGGCTTTCGTACGAGGATATGGTTCATCTTTTTGATGATCAGGGAATTGATCGGACGGCGTATGATGAGCGTCTGAAGTTCAGGGACCCAATCAATAAGCATGCGCTATAACTGGGTACCTGTTGAACATAGCCTTCTTGAAGATTGTATTCATGCCCAAGTTGCACTTGCACTGGGTCAAACAGGTAACCGTTTTTGCTTACTCAATTGGTCACGACAACATGTTTGCTTGTTTGCACTTAAGTTCGAATTTTCTTCCCTGTAATTGGAGTATATTAGAATATCGTTTTATCACAAAACTAATGAAATAGTGTAACTAGCATTTTAGATTTTATCATTTTTATTTTCGTTGACGTTGTTGGGGCAGGCCAAGTAACTATTTGAATTAGAGAAACAATACCTTCAATGAAATGGTACAGTTGAAATTTGTAATTGCAGCATTCGTGTTGATCACACTTCAAGAATGCTACACTTTTTATGTGGACGGTGCCCGGTTTTACTGACAAAGTTGCTATAGACAGGACCAAATGAAATCACTACAAGGTGGACTACGGTTACGAAGCTCATCCCTCTACCCTGTAGACCAGAATTGATCTTCACAGGAACCTCTGTCATGGGCATCAAACCCGAGACCGGGAAGTTCTGCAGCCATGCGGTAGGAACTCCCGTCTAATGTCATTATTTGTATTGATTTGGTAATGTCGATACTGCAATAAAGAACAAAGGTCTTGTCCAGAGGCGTATTGGTACTATCTATAACAACGTTAGTAGTTCACCATCCTTTGATGTGTAGGACTTCTGGGATTCTATAAAGAAGAATGACTGCTTTTCTTTAGAAGGTTTGTTGGATGAATTCAAGCAGGTACTGCAGTCTCAGTATTCACTTTCAAAAACCTTAACCCTTGAACATTTGTACAGATTCTTACCCTTTTTGTATGTAAAACCTCTGCAGCTGAGGATTTACAAAACTCCAGACTTGGAAACACCCAAATATGATATTCTAAAAAGAACTGCAAACTATGAAGTGTGTTTGCTTTTCCCCGAACGAGTCATGTTGTATTTGTAAAAACTTAAAGCCACGTTTGGTGCCTAAAACTGAATTACCATGCATGTCTTGATTCCACAGATAAGAAAGTATGCACCTTAAGTAGTAGTAGAGGGATCAGTAGACAAGCTGTCCGGGTCAGCTGGTTTCGGTGATGTTACTGGGTGAGGCGTTATCCCTAGCCAATCATGTTTTTCTTTTCTTCACTTAGGATGATTTGGATGATGGAATCTGTTTAGGTACATCTTTGGAAAGAACTCTAAAATGGAGAAGATACCGATGACTACTCCGGTCTTCACTGAGGTATCTGATGCAAAACTTTCCAAAGTATCCATCAAAATATGTCTTCCACTGGACAAGGATCCAGGCCGGACTTGGAGCTTTATATTAGTATGTTGCAGTAACCTCAAAGCTCAATGGTTTTTAGAAATCACTAGTTATCTTCTTACTCTTTGCTCCATTTGGCTATAAATTAAGGCTGTTCTTATATACTTTTGAAAATTGATCTTATGCTTCTATTTTGCATTTTGAATTGACTTTCGACCTTTGAAATTGTATTGGGGTTGATCTGCATCGAAGAGGAATGAATTGCTGATAGGGCTGGAAGAGTTCACATTGGACTAGCATATTGAACGCGTTCTTCGACAAACTCTCCCCATTGATCATTTTTCCCTACACGCACAGTAAGAGTTTATTTTCGGCTAACAAGGTACCAAAGGAGTTTGATTTATAGAACTATGATCTGATACCATGTAGAATTATGAGATTATATTCATATCTTAATGTACATATTTACACAAGTCAGTGACTTGAGATAAAAGTAAGTTACTTGATTTATAAGAATACAAGTGACTTGAGATACAAGTAATCATATCCTAAGCATGGAATCCTTAGTGGATTCTCCCTCTGTAACATCTTCCCGTTGATGGCTTCTATTGAATGAATATATTCACATAGTCCTAACTTTTCCTTTGAATTGTCAATTATTTACAACTTACAGCTTCAACTTTCAAATCTTTTGGCAAATCTCAAAACGATTTGTGGGCCCGAACAATAAGAAAATGACTTTCACACAACAAAGATGCCATATTATCAATGCGTAATTGGTTTGAGATACCGTCACAATAACGTCAGTCTTGAACAATGAGCCCTATGAGGCAAATATGTGACCTTTGGACATTTGACAATTAGAAAAGGCACGAGCAGACATACCTGTGCTTGATGCCTAAGGCCATGTGCAACTCCAAGTTTGCCAAAATGCTAACCCAAGCCAACAAAGTCGGTCACATTTCCATTTCAACTGCTGACAAAGGATGCTTCATCTGTTATAATCATAAAATCAAAGCAGTTTCAAAAGCATTTATAAACCAACAAATTTAGAACTTTCTGATTTCATTTACACTTACACTATAAATCATCAATGCCCCTCCTAGGTAGCTCATGGATGGGAAAACAATTTACTTGACAAATGCCCGCAATCACTTAGTGTTATGTGTCAAATAAAGATGTGTGGACAAAAATTTACAGATATTTCATTAGCACAAAGCATTTATGAAATTATGATAATATACTCGTGCCATATAAATTATTGTCCACGAATGAAAATAAAAGAACAACTTCGCACGTGAGTCCCATAACAACTTAATCTTCAAGTAATGCCATGCGGCATGAGAGAGATGGAGAGGGAGACAGGCAAAGACAGGGAGGTGTATCCATGTGACCGACTCATCAGGATTCAGCCTTTATACTAATTAAGATGAAAAGAATGAACAAAGCGAAGTAAACAACTTGACATATAGTCGACTGAAATTAAATATCCTGCAAAGGGCTTTGTATTCGACACCTCACAACTGCCGGTGCAACGTGATTTCCCAAAAAACATTTATGATACCAACTAATACTATGATTCAATGATTTTTTTTTTCACTTGTAAGTAAAAAAATTTAAATTTAACTTATATAGATGACGACGATATATAATATTATGTTTGACTCATTATATGACCTAGCTCGGTATCATTTTCGATTTCATCTTTTTTATCCTTCATTTGGGTAGGAATAAACCTATTCGCAAAATGTGAAACATGGTTCATGAGTTTCAAGTGTTTATGCATGCTTACATCTTTTTACTACTAAATTGTTCATAACAATTCTGATTCCAAAGTGATTATTATACCGTCACATATAATTTATACACACGAATTATAATATAAGTAAACAATAACACCATATAACACTTCAAATTGATAAGAATATATTCGGTTACATTTCACATTAGTAATTCAAAGCAAACAAGACACAAATTAGAAAAATTAGAAATCAAAATACAAGAAGGACTCTTCCAACACAACACGACAAATTACGGAAATTTCTTTGGGTTGAGAAAATCAATCAAAAAAATCCAAACCAATCCAACGGAGAAATTAAGAAAAGAAAAACTTGATAAGAAGCTGATGATGTTGAAAGTTGCCGCCTTCATGGCTTCTCCTCCTCCGCACCACCTCTATGTTTAAACCTTAAATTAATTAGTAATACACAACTAACCTCACCTGTCTCTCCACTCGCACTCCCTAATTATAGTCTAATCCCCAATTAACATTTTTCAAATTAGTTTCTTGTTTCTTACCGTTTGGACCTCGCACGTTGTCCTCTCTATCTGACTCTGTCAAATTTCTCTCTCTCTCTCTCTCCATTTCTGTTTGGCTTCTGTGGTGGCATTCTGAGATCTGGATGGTTTTTGCTTTTTGCTGTGAAATTTGATTCGAATCTATGAAAAGCTTAATGCTTGATGTAAATCTGCATCTGGGTTTTGTTTGGTGTTCGTTAATCTTTGAAAAAGTTCAATGCTTGATGTAAATCTGCATATGGGGTTTGTGTGATCGTCGTTAATCTTCGTTTAGTTCTAGTAATCTTTTCTGAAAAAAAAAAAAATCTGTAGTAAATTCTGATCTGATCTGGGATTACTTTGTTGGTGGTAAATTTAATCTGCAAACGATAAGAAAAACCAAAAGTTTGAAACTTTCCCGAATCAAAATATGAAGGTGAACAGCTTTTATTTTAGTCCTTGGATGTAGGAGACAAGGTGATTTGAAGGGGTAAATCAAACGTTTCTTTATAGTGACTTATAAAAGTTAGAGAAATAGTGTATTTTTAAGGCATTTCTGGCCCAATTTCTATGAAATCTGTTCGAATTGAGGCGCGTTGATGTATTATTATACCTTTGTTCTTGTGCTTTTAGAAATGACTGGTATTATGATCTTGAGGTCATTTGATCTGATCGATTTTGTTGTATATTATCTATCAGGGAAAAATGGCAGACCCAAAACCCGACACACCCTTGATCCCACCATCGTCGTCATCATTATCATCCTCGTCACGGAACCTCCCCGACTTCAAAAAATAAGTTAAACTGAAATATGTGAAGCTTGGGTACCATATTCTCATCACCCATGGCATGTACCTCTTTCTTTCCCCTCTTGTTGTCGTTATCGCTGCCCAGATTTCAACATTTTCTCTCAAGGATCTTTATGATCTTTGGGAGCACCTCCAGTACAACCTGATTTCGGTGATTATCTGCTCGACTCTCCTTGTTTTCCTATCCACCGTGTACTTTGTCACCCGCCCTCGCCCGGTGTACCTTGTTAACTTTTCGTTCTACAAGCCAGAAGAATCTCGAAAATGCACGAAAAAGATTTTCATGGAACAGTCTCAGATGACTGGTACATTTACAGAGGACAATCTTCAGTTCCAGCGTAGGATCCTTAAGAGATCCGGCCTTGGTGACTCGACTTACCTTCCCGAGGCAGTTCTCAACATTCCTCCAAATCCGTCAATGAAAGAAGCTAGAAAAGAAGCTGAGGCTGTGATGCTTGGTGCCATTGATGAGCTTTTCGCTAAGACAGCTGTTAAACATAAGGACTTTGGAATCTTGATTGTGAACTGCAGTTTGTTCAATCCTACCCCGTCTCTTTCTGCCATGGTTATCAATCATTACCAGCTTCGAGGGAACATAAAATTTGCACAACACTAATTAAGAGATCAAACCAAATCTACACAATCCAAATAAGAGATCAAACCAAGCTAATCTTTTCCTTTTGGAAAAAGCAGCACTCTTGGTGGAAAAGTGAGGTAATTTGTAGTGTACCTGTAATCAGACCTCTGTAAAGCAGCGGACTCTGAAATTCTGAAATATCTATAAAAATGAAATCACACAAAATCAAATTTGAAAAACAAAAATACAAACCCTACTAATCCAAATAAGAAAAACGCACAGTTCCGCATGGTTCAAGTTAGTGATTTGATTTAGGCACAGAATGCAATGGAAAATGATCCTCTTTGTATTCTTTTTCTGGGGATTTCAGGATCTTGTGATTGTGCGGTCAGTTTTCGTTAAGTACTATACCAAGGGGAGGGGGTGCGGTGGACTTAGCCTCACAATGAACTAGCTATAATGTGGTTTAAATTCGCTTTTGGTGAGCATCAAACCTAAAACTTTTCACTTATCAGTGAAGATGAATATCACTAAACCGTAGTACTAAATAGTAAAACTTCTCATTTATAAATGAAGAAAACTACTAATAGACATTAATTTTGGTCGATTGGCCCTCATTCTCACAAAAGAGGAACCAATACCCCTAAGACATTCGTTTGACCAAAAAAAAAAAGGAAAAAAGAAAGAACAGAAGACCCACCTACGACGCCGTTTCATGGCCTATTTGGGAGTCTGGGACTGTACCATGCATTTGACGTTTTCACCCCCCCAAAATCAAACTACGCGGGAAACTGGCACCAAAAATAGGGAGGGGAGTTCCGGCGGCGCAGTCGAAAGCCTAAGAACCAGAGGATGGTGCTTCGGCGACCTCGAACAAGTGGAGGAGAAGATCCTGATCCAACCCGCCTTGTCCGACAACACGCGTACGGTAGTGAACTCAGTGGAAGCCAAACTCATCAACATGAACCTTAAATCCATCTCCGCCAGGTCCATGCCCGACCCGCATACGCTCCTAAGGTCCTCTCACCTCCTCGGCCCCAAAGTTCTCCAGGTAAATCACACCTCTCTGTATTTCTCGCTAATTTTTCTTATCCTCTGTTTGGTTGCTGAGAAAATAGATAAAGAGAAAGAAAATTTTGGTCTTTCCTTTGTGTTTTGTTATCAAATGGCTTGGGTAAGGGACGTTGCCAAAAGCAGAATGGAGGATTTTTCGAGGAATTTGAGTCGTCGGTGGCTTTTGATGCCTTACGATCCCTGACGACGGCCACAGCTGTGGAGTACTCTCATCCCTCGGTAATCCCTGACGACGTTGTTCCTGGAACTAAGGTATTTCTGCTTCTTGATGCCTGCTCAATGCTCAGCTTGTGTTTTATATTTAATAAGCTAGAGATTTGTTTGATTGCTCACACTTTCGTAGAACTTAGTGACGAACACTGTGTGCTCCGTCTTCGTGTATGCAATCTTGAAGCGAATCCACATCCAGTAGGAAAATTAATAATTTCGTTTATTTTTTATCCCATATGTGACATTAGCTCAACACTGCACTGGAAGACCCGGACAAATTTTTTAATTTTGACAATGAATTTCACAAGAAGTTTTATGGGTCTCTCTAGTCCCACTTTCTTAAGTGATTCAGGGAAAACAGGTGCATAGATAAGGGTCGCATTTTGAGTTAACTGAACATCTTTCGTTTGTCCTACTTTTTGATCGGTAGGTCTGTTTGGAAGGTGAAGTTACTGTACGCAATGGAATAGTGTGTTTGAGTCCTAAAATTGTGACTCTGTTGGGAGGTGTTGTTCAATCACTTTACGAAGAATGGCAGATGAATACAAAATATTCCGAGTTTTCACGTTCATCTTTAAGGATTTCACAGGAAAGTGAAGGTAACGGCCCCCTCCATTTGAGAAGTTGAAGTTGGGGCAGCTAAAAGTCAGTTTCCTGAGCTGGACAAGTTTTCACGTCAGTATTCTTGAGCTATTGATTTCATAATATTAGTTTGTCTTTTAACATAATGTTAAACCACTCATTATTGCTATTGCATGCATATCTCATGGGCAAGATGCAATCATTGGCAGATTACTCTGATGTTAGCTCCAAGAGTAGTGAGCCTATTGCCAGAATTACTGAGGTTAGACCAGTTGCAAGACAGTGGAACCTTCGATTGAAAGCAAATGACGACAATAAATCTTATAAAAGAAGTGAGACTGATAACACTCGTAAGGCAGATTCCCTTGATGAAAGAACTCAAGACCAAAGAAGGTAGATTTTCATCCGTGTCCAATTTGTAGCTTGTTATTAAATTTTACTATTATCCTATGCTGCATCCAGGTTTTGTGTAGTATTAAGCTTAATTTTTTGTCATCTAGTTGTGGGGAAGGGGTCGAGAATAGACCGGTGTTTTTACACTTGGATTTGTTCACCAATTATTTCTAGTGGTGCGTATATAGTTGTAGATGGGGCAGGTGTAAGGTGGCAGAATAAAACTTGAATCAATTGAATGGAGGGAAAACCAAATTTCTGCTAAGTTTTGTCTATATCAACGTCGACGATCATGTAAAATGGAATTATACTTGAATCACACAAGAAACACATTTAGTTAACTTAATTATTACAAATGTTCTACATTTTTTGCTTTGTAATTTAATGCTGATGTATTATGCCTTCCACAAAAATTGAAGCTGTCCCTGTTCAAAACCAAGCAGCCGCACAAAAGGTTCTTAAAAAAATGAGTCATCAAAACCGGGATGACATGCATTCAAGAGGCAGACAGTTTGGGGGAAAGAGGAGGATTACTTGACTTTATCATTTCTTTTATTCTCATCACGCTTTACTCTGTTAGGTAATTTTTGTTCTTGAGATGATTATGATGATGGTGAAACCGTAGCTTCCAATCTTTGAATTTTGGTGGTTTAGCTACATACATTTTCACTGATTTGCTGAACAAGAGTTTTTTCTCGTTATGTTGTAATTACAGATATTCTCTTTGTAAGTCGGATAGAGTTTGTTACCCCAACAAAAATCTCTCTCTTTTTTTTTTTTTTATATCAAAGCTATATTTGATGATTTCATGTTTTTTTTTTTTTTATAACACTCTGACATCTTAATTTGATGGTGTTTACAGAAGGGCACAACATGGGCTGGGGTTTGATCTTAACAGGAACAGCTCTACAATGTTACAAACAACTTCCGTCTGCAGTTTTGTGCGAATTCAAGTAGTATTTGTCAAATATTTTGATGAATGTCTTATATTGATTGTTGTAAAGTTGAAATGTTTTATAGATGCAATATTTCTTCAAAATTCAAAACAACTACTTATTGGAAAAATCATAGGAATCTAAAGAAGTACGAAATAAGGACTTGTCTTCATTAACGAACCAGTAAAGCAAAAATAAAAGAGGCGTTTGATGAACTGGTTATGACCTGACTCAGATATGTGATGATGACAATGCATCACCTCCTTGATCGTGCTTCACCATAGAACCGATCTGGGAGACTTAATCAAGATGGATGATGCTTCACTTCTTCCTGCCTTTTCCCTTTTCAGTCATCTATAGTAATTCTCATTTGTTTCTTGGGACGATTATTATCGGATGCGTCATGGCTTGGTCCTTCCTCATCATAAAACCGAGTTGGATGTGTGTCAAAAACATAACCAGCTTTGTCCAAATCATGCATATTTTCCTCCATAGGTTTGTCCCATACTAGGTTAACCCCTGTTCTCTTTATTGTAATGGATGGGTTTTCAAAAAATATAACAACTTTATCCCCACCTCGCAATTTGAGCTTATTGTTCGAGAGTTGTCCCTGCAAAAGATAATCATCTCCATTTGGGTGGTAATCAGATTCTACTCTGCCTATGTAAGCTCGCAACTCAGTACGCTGGGTATTATTTATAACAATAATGGCAAGATGACTGCTTCTGTACGAGTGGTACAAGCAGAACAGAGTTAACCCTTCAAAATTACGACCATCACTCGGGGGAATATCAAAAGTGACTTTAGTGCCCTCGTTGACAAACTCAAACCAATCAGGAACATAGTTTCCATGAAGGAAAATTCCACCAAATCCGCAAGAAGTCCATCCCTACATATACAATACATGTGTCGTATATATACATGTATACGCAAGATAGGAAGGCAATGAGAGAGAGAGAGAGGGAGAGATACCTGTAGGATGTTCTTCCTTAAATGAGCTGAAAGACTGGTGCACTTAAGCATACTAATCCATGTAATGGAGCTTAATGACTTATCCAAGCCTGGAACCTCAGTGAGCTTGGGTGAATCACTCACAACCAGTTCTTTCATATTCAACATTTTCGAAAAATTGGGCATTGTTTCCAATGCAAGGCATTGAAATGCATACAGAAATTTCAAAGTTGTTGGTAAATCAGGGATTGTACGAAGAGATATGCATCCAATTAACCTCAATGTTACAAGCTTTGAAAGACCACTGAGGCTGGGTAGGGTATGAAATGTATTTAATGAAAGATCCAAATCTTGTAAAGAAATTAGACTCCCAAGATCCTTAGGGATTGCATCATCAGCTAAATTGCACCATTCGAGATTTAATTCCCTTAAAGAGTTTAAGCCGTGTAACGAAAAGGGCAAATGAATACTTTCCACACCTGATAGGGATAAACGAGTGAGATTCTTCAATCTTACTATGGAAGGTGGTACTTTTCTTATGGCTGTTTCCTCTGCTTCAAGTATTCTCAATGATATCATCTCCCCTATATCCTCATGCACTTCTCTGAATTTTGAACACCAATTAAGAAGAAGAGTCTCAACAGATTTCAACTTATAGAAATCCTCTGGAAGAGAAATAAGTTTGAAACACCACGTAAGGTTCACCAAAGAAAGTCTTTTAAGATGACCAATGGAGGGGTGAATCTCGGACAGACTAATACAGTATTTCAATATCAACTCTTCCAGATTTGGGACTTGTGAAAAGTCTGGTGATTTCTGTAAGGAATAGGAATCGCTGAGATCAAGGGTTTTCAAGTTATGTAGCGACTGTTGCAGAAAATCAAAAGAAAATTGAAATTGATATCCAAAATGAAAATGTTATAAAAAAAGAGAAGATATCCAAAAAACAAATAGCAACACAACATCATCAGCTGTAATTCATTGTACCTTGGAACCCTCCCAAACTTGTACCAGATTGCTCCTCCGCATATCTAACACAACTAGTCTTGGTTGATTAAAAAAATCATCTGGTATGGACTTTAAAGGGCATTCTTCCCAACACAACCATATTAACTCTTTGGGAAGATGTTTGTATTCTCCTTTGAGCTCTACTCTGTCGAGGTGAAGCAATCTCAGATTCTTCATATTGGCAAATGCTTCTGTACTGAAACTAGCAGCAATCTCAGTGTCTACAATGCTTGATAACAAAGGATGAGGGAACTCTAGAGCAAGTCCTTCAATTTTTCTAGTTCCCTGTTAACAAAAAAGGTTATAGTGGTAAGAAACAATATATTTGCATATGTTTACATGTATTATTATGCATTACCCAAAATCACCCACAGTGAATATATTTTACACATGAATGTTGTTTAATGTATAATTGACATGCGAGGGTTACATATATGCTTTTCTTGTACGATGCATTAATCCAAAATTGAATTGGGAATGTACTTACTAATTTATTTGTTAATACATTGCTGACATCTTGAGGATTCCACAACCTACTCCATTTTTCAGGATGACAAGGAGATTTTCCAGAAATGATTACTCTGGCCATTTCTCGAAGCAAATCATGCATATTCAACTTGTTGCGTTCAACAGTTACAAGACTTCGTTCACTGAGGACATTGATTCCTATCGTTGCAAAAAATTTACATTCATCTAATACTTTTGTGACAAAGTCCTTGTCCATTCCAATAAAGAAACAAGATATGTCAAGGAATATAGCCTTTTGTGTGTCATCTAGCCCTTCAAAGCTTATTCTTAGTGGTTTTATTATTTCTCCTTCAGGAGTTGTTTTCAATTTCTTCAATTGACATTCCCACTCTCCTATGGTTCTTTTAAACAAAAAAGAACCTAAAACTTCAAGGGCTAGTGGCAAACCATCACAGTAAGAAACAAACTTTTTTGAGAGTTCAAGATATCTTTATCAGGCCAACTATTTCCAAAGGCATGCCAACTAAAGAGCTCTAGAGATTCTCCATCCTTCAATTTCTGAGCCGAATATACTTTGTCCATATTTAGTAGTAGATGTTTATCTCGTGTCGTTATGATAATTCTACTTCCCGGACCAAACCAATCATGATTTCCAACTATTGCATCCAGTTGTTCCTTTTTATCTATGTTGTCCATAACGACAAATACCTTTCTATGTGAAAATATATCTTTTATCCGACCAATGCCTTCAACATCACTGCTTATTTCAGACTTTGGATTCAAGATGTCCGAAATAAGTTTTTTTTGTAGATAAACCAGACCATGTCTACTTGTAGTGTCGCTAACATCATCAAGGAAACTCTTGAATTCAAACTTAGGATGAATTTGGTTATAAATGGCTTTGGCAGCTGTTGTTTTACCCAATCCACCCATCCCCCAAATTCCAACCATGAGAACCTTATTTCCTTCACCACTTGAAAGATAAGTGATAATTTCTTGAACACGAGAATTGATTCCAACTGGGAACTTGGCCACATGTAATTTTTTTGTTTTGGGGAGCCATTTCCAAAGATTATCATAAATAATTTTCTTAATAAGCTTTGCTTCATGCCTGAAAACACAATTTGTAAGAAAATATAAATGGCGGTACAGACTTGCAGTGACTTACTATTTGCAAGAATTAACTGGTTAGAAGAAATATATCAACAAGTGACCTATTATTACATAAGTTGTCACATAAACAAATAAGTGATCTTATTATTACAAATTATTACAACTTATACCGGTAACACCTATTATCAAATTCGTTCTTACGCCATTAGATAACCTACACAATCTAGACAATAAAAGGGAATTATTTTCTTTGTGTGTTTTAAATATTGTATTGCGTGTTCAATAACTATAATCTATGCATTTTGAGTTTCTCGTAATCTGCAAGACTGTATGTTGTGTGTGTGTACATACACATATATTCACTTAGATTGCATGGTCACTAATTTACCTTTTTAAATTAGAGGCATTGTGGGCTTATTGTAATTGTACAATTTGTTTTTTGAGTAATTTACATATATATTGCATATTCACCTAGATAGTATAGGCAAGTTAATACCTATAGGGCACGTTTGTTGGAGTGGTTAGGTTAGGATTGGATGGGATGGGATGGGTTGGGCTATCCATCTACTGTTTGGTGTGGACTATCCCAACTAAATTAGGATTGGATTGAAAAGTAGAAGTGCAAAGAAAACACAGAAAGGTCGATCCCAAGCACTAAACCCAACATTCCAGAAACGGAAACAAAGCAAATGAGATCAAAGAAAATGCAAAAAGGATAGCAGAAAATTACTGGACAGGGGAGGAGGCGAAGGAGAAGACAATCGAAGAAGCAGAAGGGAATTAATCAAGGTGGGAATCGCAGTAATTGTCATCGCAATCGACGGTGGTAGAAGAGTCGTCAGAGAGAGGTCGTTTCTGGAATGTTGGGTTTGTGCTTATGACGACCCCACGCAGCTGCTCCCGATGATTCCACGGCTCAGCTCGCGACGACCAACCCCACCTTGTACGACCAGATATGTGGAGAGAGAGAGCCTTCTGATGACGATGACGACGACGACGGAAAAAAAGAAAAAAAATATGTTGATGTCGACGCAGAGAAGAGAGGAAGACGATGTTGGACTCATAACCCATCATCCCTAAGAGCAATTCCACCTAACGACTTTACGCCAGGTGCATTTATCCACTCAAATGAACAGTAACAGACTTTAATGAACAGTAATAAGCGAAGTCATCTTCACCCCATGCGCTGACACCTAGCGGGACACCTAGCGCATTTATTTGGTGTGTTTTTTTTTTTTAAGTTTATTTCGGATAAGATTTTTAACCAATTTTGGATAAAATTTCAAATAAACTTAAAAAAAAAACACACTAAAATAAAATTACATACTCATCAAATAAACTTAAAAAAAAACACACTAAAATAAAATTACATAAACTCATCAAATAAACTATAAAAAAAACACACTAAAATGAAATTACATAAACTCATCAAATACTCTTTATTCTTCAACCACAAGCTTTTTGGTATTTTTT